CCAAGAGCTTTTTTGGATGCAGAGGTTGAACATCCGAGCCAAGTTGATTACCTGATCTCGGTCTGATTGAGTTGTGTTCCACTTGTTAAAGACTAAAGGTGGGGGAGACCCCACAACAACCAAGAGCTGAAAGTGGCTGCCTGGGAGGGCATCACCAGGGAGGATACAGTGTCACCCTAGATGTCAGACAGCCACTGACTTAATGCGTATCTGTCCAGTTACCTTTGAACCCAAAAACATGCAGCAGTTATTTCTATATTAATGTAAACCTGCTCAAATTAAAAGTGAGACTTGACACTAATGTATTATTCATCATTTTATTTCAAACTGAATGTGCTGAAGTACTTACAGTGTGGACTGTACATTTTCTTCCTCAGCTGAAAACACCAACACATCCTCAGTCCAAGTCCATGCAGAGGTACATACATCTCTCGACAGCTTTGCTTCTTGCCTGGCAAAAGCTATAGAGAGTGACGCTAAGCTCACTCTCTTTGGGGAGGGCTTGATTCTGCCAGATGGACTGTTTACAACGAGGACAGTGCCAAGACCTAGATACCTGGACGGTCAGAGACTAAGGCTGGAGAGTATCGATGAAGGGATTGTCAAAGACAACAGAGATGAAGAAGAGCAGGATGTGGAAGAAAAAATGGCCTGAACACAGCTCATCTTGTCACTTGTTGGACATTAACAGACCAGAGTTATCTCACCAGTGAACCATACGGGTTTCACACCCTTATCAAGAGTATATACAGTCATCCAGAGTCAAGCTTGTCATGCTTTGTGGTGCGGTTAATGAAGTCTGACTACAAATGGGTTCTCCTTACTTGAAGTTATTAGGAAACAGGAACAGACACATTATTCATTCCATTAAACTGGACCAATTGCATACTGTCAGCATCTTTGTAGGCTTTTGTAGGGATTAATGCAGTCAAATAAGAAGACTTTAACTTCAATGGTTTGATTGTAGTCAGTTATTTTACTACCATGTACCATGTATGTCCTCAGATTTAACAAGAGCATGTGCCTCATTAGGGCTGGGCAGTATGAAGGAATATTACAGCATTTTCTATTTTCCAAAGGACTTTTATCAGATCCTTTTAAAACTTGTTAATTACAGTAACGTTATAGGTTTCAATCCCAGATTCTTCAGCTGTTTGTCAGTTCAAACTTAGCCAGGCCCTAATGCAGGGGTGCCCAAAGTGGGGCCCGCAGGCCAAGCTTGGCCCGTGGGGACATTTCTTGGCCCCCCACAATTTATTATGCCACCCCAGTTCTCAGGTCAAGCAGCTCCCAGCTCGGCTCGCAACCCGCCAATAAAACAAGGAGAAGAAGAAGAAGAAAAAAAAGAAGAACAACAACAACACGAAGAACAGAGCAGTAGCAAGCAACATGGAGAACAGTAGATGGTGGCACACAGACATAAGGCATTTTAAACGAACCTGGGAGGAAGAATATTTTTTTACGGATATTTATTCTAAGGCGGTCTGCTTAATTTGCGGTCAGTCTGTCGCTGTGCTAAAAGAGTACAATATCCGCCGGCACTATGAAACGAGGCATGCAGCATTCTCAAGGTTCAAAGGCGAGGCACGGAAGACAAAGAGCCGAAAGTTGTTAGCTAAACTTCGCTCACAACAAAACACGCTCACAC